AAAAAAAAAAAAGAGGTACCAGTTAACTGTCGTTTAAATTCTTTGTAGTGTAGTTTGATCATTGGGTGAAAGGTAACAAGAGTACTCACACATCATGTTTTATTATTAATGCAAATTTAATAATTTTTTTTTCTATTTAGACAGGATTACTAAGTAGTCCTGGATAGCCCGAAACTTTCTTTGTAGACTACACTTATCTCAAACTCAGCATGTCTTGAATAATAAATTATTATTCTCAGAGACCATGCCAGGCAGAGGAGGCATCAATATAAAATATAAATCAAATGTAATCATCTTGTAAGGAAGTTATTCCATCAACTTCTCTTAATGCTATGGGCAAGCAAAGATGTCCAAAAGCAAAGATGCAATAAGTGTATATATGGGACTACAAAACGCCATACTCACCTAGCAGGGGCTGCCGCTCGCCTACCCGCAGTTGGTGATGGAACTGCTTGCTGATCATGCGTCGTCGGGCATCACTCTCATGGGCAGCCATGTAGGGGATCTCCAGGAGCATGGCAGACACCAGATAAACACACTCCAGAAGTTCCAGGTTGATGTGCAGATGAAAGGGCACCTGTCGGCGTCGCTCTACCTTCTCCTGTTCCTGGTTGCGCTCCTGTAGACTGCGCAGCAGCAGACCCTGGCCCAGAAGTTCCTTGGCACGACCACTTGACTGGATATCCAGAAGGGCATTGTGTGCATCCTTTGTCAGGCCTTGGCGGAAGGCACAGATGCCCAGCTGCACCATGGTACGGTTATACAGGATCTAAGCACAAAGGACATAGGTGATAGCCACAGGCAAACCGTTCATTTATTCAGCAAATACACTTAAAGCATCTACTGTTTTGAGCTGTAGGCTAGGCCAGAGAACAAATTAGGTCCACCTTCCATTCTAGAGGTGGAGTGTGCAGAACAAAATTACTATGAGTGGTAATTTATGTTAAGAAGAAAAATAATCTGAGGGGAAGATTTCGAAAGTTGAGTTTGTATGATGATAGAGGCCGGCAATTTGGTAAAGGCTTCATTGTGAAGAATAGCTAAAAACTAAAGCCATACAGATAAACAAGGATAAAGTCCACACTAGGAAAAGGAAATGCAATGGTCTAGATGAGTAACTGAACTAAGTATACTTGAAGAACAAGAGTCAGTAGCTGAGACTGGTCAAAGACCTTACCATAAATCAGGGAGTGGGCATGTATAAAGCAGGATTTAAAGACGGGAAACCATGGGAAAGTTCTGAGCCTTTAATCCCAGCACTCAGGAGGCAGAGGCAGGTAAGCTAGCTCCATAGGAAGGCAAGCCTAGGGCAACTAGATCGGACAAAATTCTATTAAGACACATGGAAATTTAGATTATCTTTGGAAGTTTTCCTAGAAAATAAAACACTATGTAAGACAAACACAATTTGATTTAAGGGGCATCTGCATTTGAGCATGGCCAAAGGACCAAAGAACCAACATGTAAGGGGAATTGACTACGGAACACTGTATAGTCATTTCCTGTCCTAGTGACTCATTTACTCAGCCTCTGTATGACAGCCTTTCAAAAGTGACCAAAGTATGACTGGCAGTGTATCTCAGTGATAGAGTATAGTCTAGCACAAAGGCCCTAGATTCCATCTTTATCATCATTTATTTTTCTAAACATTTTTTGCCTGTAGTGGTGGTGCATGTCTTTAAGCCACTACTTAAGAGGCAGAATCACACAGAGGGTTTCTCTCACTCACTACTTGAGTCTGGTTAGGTTGAAAGCCATCAAATCTTAATGGTCCCCCTGTCTCTGCTTACCTGAAACTGGAGTTACAGTGTTTTCAGGGATTCCCAGCTTGTTACATAGGTGCTAGGATCCAAATCTAGTCGTCATGAATGCAGAACAAGCACTTTTAACCACTGAGCCATCTCTCCAGCACCCAAGCATCACTTAAACAAAACAAAAAACTACCAGGGTACACACCTTTAATTCTGGAACCATGGAGAAAGGCAAGTAATTCTTCTTGAGTTTAAGGCCAGCCTGTTCTACACTGTAAGTTTTAGGCTGGGCAGGGCTACATTTGTTTCATGCATGGGTCTTACCCATGCATGAAACAAATAAACAAACAAAACATTCATCTAAGAAGCAAATGTTAAGGTTCTTGGATGATAAAACTCTATTATGTTTGTTTTGGCTGAAAGACAATGAGCATGAAGTTTAAAAAAAAAAAAAAAAAGAGGAACCAGTTCAATGTCTTTTAAATTCTTTGTAGTGTAGTTTGATCACTGGGTGAAAGGTAACAAGAGTACTCACACATCATGTTTTATTTCAAGAATAATGATAATGTTTCTAAAATCATGTTCTATACATCCCTGAATAAATGACTTAGTTGCAAAGTTCTTTTTCTAAAAAGTAATATTATACCTATTTTATTGAGAAATTGTTTTCTTAAGACTCCATTTTATGACATCAAGGTATTCTATATAAAGTTTTGGAAGAGAAAACTTAATTTTCTTATTATAAAACTTATTAAATATCCTTTTATGTCATCCACTTTATCAAACAAACACAATATACACACGTATACACACAGAGAGAAGAGATGAAACCATTATCCAAAGGAAATTACTGTATTCAGTTCAAATACATGTATTTGATTTATAGATTGATCCATTGCCAGGCTTTTGTTTGTTTTTAATTTTTTTGCTGTGTCAATATTGAATGGTCATAATTCTAGTACTTTATCTGAATGTAACATTTCATTTTACACAATGCTATCTCAAATCTCAGAAAATGGATTTAACTTGAGTCTGGTCTTAAAAAGGATGTTAGTTAGTCTCATTTTTCCAGATCAAGTATCTCAAAAACCAAATCTATTCTTATTAATATGAATCATTGTTGAATGTGATATGCACACCTTTGAAATGAATAAAAAAACTCTTAATTCACAATGAAATTAGCAATGCTTAGTATTCTTTAACAATATCATCATTATTATTTACAATCAATTTTACTGAGGCTCAATTTAAGAAACATAATTATAACAGGTTTTGTACAAGCCGAGCGTTGGTGGCGCACGCCTTTAATCCCAGCACTCGGGAGGCAGAGGCAGGGGGATCTCTGTGAATTCGAGACCAGCCGGGTCTACAAGAGCGAGCTCCAGGTCAGCCTCCAAAGCTACAGAGAAACCCTGTCTCGAAAAACAAAAAAACAAAACTAAAAAAAGTGATCAAAGAAACCAGGGGCTGAGCTGGAGAGATGGCTCAGGGGTTAAGAGCACTGGTTGTTCTTCCAGAGGACCCAGGTTCAATCACGGGCACCCACATGGCAGCTCAATGGTTAAGACTGATCTTCCAAAGGACCTGGATTCAGTTCCCAGAACCCTCAGAACCTACATGACAGCTCACAACTGTCTGTAACTCCTATTTAAGGAGATTCCAGCACATTGACACATAAATATTAAAAAAAGAAATGACCAGACACAGACTACAAAAAAAAAAAAAAAAAAAAAAAAATGAAAAAAAAAAACCAGGCACCACCCACCC